GGGGCTACCCCTTTCAGGTTGTTTTAAGGGGAAACGAAAAGGAACATATACTCTCTCTCTTCTCTCTCTCTCTCGCTCCCTCTTTTCTTTGAAGGGGAGGCGGCCGATATTGGCATATGCTCAGAATGAAGTGGCACTGCATCCTTGCCCTTTGGATTCGAATCCCGACGTCATCAAGAGCCCTTTCTTGAACTCCACCCATCGTCCCAGGCCAGCCCCGATTCCGAGTCTAGGAACATGCTCATTTTGGACCAGGCCCTGTATTCATTCAAGTCTAGCAGAAGCTTCCCTTTTTTGTCCAGGGATTCTTCTTTCCAGACCCAAAAACCCGGGATAAAGGGCCGGTCTTTCAAATCAGAGCAATGATCGGAAAAGAATGAACAAGGAATCACACCCCAGAAAAAATGGCACCTAGGTTCACCAAACACCACACCGTTGGATTCTGGTCCATAGCGATCCTTAAACATGCAACATCATGTATGAGCTTTTCAAGACTCGGGGTAGTCCCCTTCAGGTCGATTTCCTTTAGAAGCTTCCCCCCCCAAGACCCATCCAAAAGGGAGAGAACCATCACGTCTGAGACCCATGTTTATTTGGGAGTGGCTCACAATTAAAAAGCTAGGGCAAACCGCAGGTTTTAGTCTTTGGTGCCATTTACCAAGTTGCCATTTTGGGCTCCATTTATTTGAGCCACAGCCATTGTTCAAGTCCCAGTCTCGGGCAGCTCCCGGAGTCGTGGGACATGCCAAAGTTGTGGCCCATCTCGTGCGCCACCGTCGCAGCGCAGCCCGCCACGTCTGTGCTGCTTGGCCCACACATGTTGATGGAACCTGCAGTCAAAGCGCCCCCAAACTTTCGCCCAAAAGACACAACCGTGGAAAGAAAGGCTTACCCTTCCTCCCACTAAGCGCACCTGAATCTCCTCTTGGAGGGACCCACTGTTCGGTGCCATGGTGGGAGGAAGGGTATAGAGGCCTGGCTAGTCGCACAAGCTGCTAACATAGCGAATGCCGCGTTGCTAAGGCTGGCATGGGTTCCCCGTACGCCCCTCTCAGCCATCAACGTATCCAAGTACGATGCGTTCAACTAAATACGCGTGTCTTGTTGCGAGGCAATCCATTGTGGGAGTGGCGTTAAACGACGACTTTCATTTTAAGGCACAACTATGTTGCAAGTGAAATCAACCACATTCACCCCAAAAAAAAACTTGTGGCACTGCCTAGTTCCTCACAATATCTAGCACATCCGCCGCATTACGTCTGAGCCAAAGTGTTAGACGCCCATGTGATTGAAATGCCATATAAGAAATAATATGGGGTTCCTGTCTAAGACCCCAGGGAACAGTAAACCGCGTCTTCAACAAGTAAAAGATGTGTGGCTCTAGGATCTGGCTTGAATCGCTGTCACGTTGCATCGGTCAGACTTGCCCTGCCAAGAGGATTTGGAACATGAGTGAGAGTCAATGGACATGAACTGTTTGATCTGCCCAAAATGCATCTATGAATTCCCTGATTGATCAGGGGATAGGTTCAGCCACATGAGCATGCGGCCAATCCCCAAATCTCCGTTTACCCCGCTTTTCCGCTCCGGCCTCCCGTCTCCGATCGGGCTTCAATCCCTGTAAACATCACCGCCAATCAGAATCGAGCCAGGTGATGCTGAATCCCCCCCTGGCCATGGAAAATCGAAACCTGTCAGGGGTGGTTCCAAAATCCTCTCACGTACAGACATGTGGTGCCTTAAAGACAAGCACAACACTCAACAGAAATTCCTAAACCGCCCAAAGGCATCCAAACCCGCGACCATGCATTCAATTATTACACTTCCTGAGTGGACTGGCCAAAAAAAGTCCGAACAATTGACTTTACCACCAACATGATCTTCCCCAAAAAGTGACGAGAGTCCGAAACGGAACTCCGGGCGCGAGATTCTTCTCCCAGACCCTCAAGCCCTCAGACCCTCACACCCCTCACACCCCTCAGACCCCTCAGACCCCTCAGACCTCAGACCGTCAGACCCTCAAACCGTCAGACCCTCAAACCCAAGCCCTCAAAAGCTCCCCCAACCCCCGTGACCCGGTGGCCTGAGCGGGCCAGATCGCACATGGAGGACATGGGCGCGTAGCCCACGGTGCTGGCCACAAAGTCCCGGCCGCTGAGCAGCCTCGAGCGACTCGCTCGAGGCGTTGAAAAAAACGCGGCCAGGGGCGAGGCCAAGAGGAGGCAAGCAGCACATAGTGTGTCCTTTTGGGGGAAGTAGATGGCCCTGGTAGATGAGTAAACCACCTAGTAAACCAGGCCCATCTATTCTTTTACCAAAACAAGCCAAAAGGATACGTATGGGCAAGCATTCGACAGTGGGTTGACAACTGGGGAGTCAAGGGCTTTGCATTATGCGTATTTACTTCCAGTCTTAGGCCCCAAAGTGGCTGCCAGGAATTCGCAGGGGGTAAAACCCGACTGTTCAGAAACCCTGGCAGAATGATTCCCCTATCCAAAAGCAATGGTTTTCCATGGTTGCAGCCGTTACTCCTCTACTGGAATTTGACTTGTCCACAAAATGCCAGCCATCTACGACACATGCACCCGCAAAGCAACGCTTGCTGCTCCAGCCCCTGTGCCTAGAGCTTTGTGCTCTTTCCTCACCTGCTCCACCGGACCCTGACAGGAAAGGCAAATCTCTGTAGTTCTCAAGCTGCAAATAAGGAGGAACCCCGCTTCTGCGCAGGATCCTGAAGGTTTGGGGAGCAGCGAGCAGTGTGTATGTGTGTGTGTGTGTGCGCGTTTTTGTTTGTGTTTGCGGTTGTGCGAGTTTGTGTGCTTGTTTGTGTGTTTGTGTGCTTGTGTGCTTGTGTGTGCGTGGGTGTGCTTGTGTTTGCGTGTTTGTGTGTTTGTGTTTGCGTGTTTCGTTTGTGTTGTGTTGTTGCATGCGTGTACACGCGCCGGCGCACGCACGTGCGACGTGTGTGCGTCCGTGCGTGCACGGATGTGTGTGTAGGCGTGCGCTTACGTGTGATTGATTCATGTTGCTTGCTTGTTTGGTTGCTTGGTTGTTTGTTTGTTTGTCTGCTTGATTATTTGTTTGCTTGTGTGTTTGTTTGTTACATTGTTTGTCCATCTGTGTGCGTGTTTGTCTCTTTGTTGATTTTGGCTATTGTTTGTTGTTGCTTGCTTGTTTGCGTGTTTGTATGTATGTATGTATGTGCGTATGTACGCACGTGCGTACGTATGTACGTATGTACGTATGTATGTGTGTATGTATGTATGTATGTACGTACGTACGAAAGTACGCACGCAAGTACGTACGCACATGCATGTATGTATGTATGCATGCATGCATGCATGCATGTGTGTATGTATGTAATTATGTACGTATGTACGTATGTATGCATGTATGTATGTATGTGTACGTACGTATGTACGTATGTATGTATGTATGTATGCATGTAATTATGTACGTATGTACGTATGTACGTATGTACGTATGTACGCATGTACGTACGTATGTATGTATGTATGTATGTATGTATGTATGTATGTATGTATGTATGTATGTATGATTGTATGATTGTATTCATGTATGTATGTATGGATGTATGTATGTAGGTAGGTATGTATATATGTATGTATGGTTGGTTGCTTGGTTGCTTGGTTGCGTGGTTGCTTGGTTGCTTGGTTGCTTGGTTGCTTGGTTGCTTGGTTGCTTGCTTGCTTGCTTGCTTGTTTGGTTGCTCGTTTGTTTGTTTGCTTGTTTACTTGTTTCTTTGTTTCCTTGTTTCTTTGTTTCTTTGTTCTTTGTTTGTTTGTGTGTGTGTGTGTGTGTGTTTGTGTGTTTGTTTGTTTGTTTGTTTGTTTGTTTGGTTGGTTGGTTGCTTGCTTGCTTGCTTGCTTGCTTGCTTGCTTGCTTGCTTGCTTGCTTGCTTGCTTGCTTGCTTGCTTGCTTGGTCGTTTGTTTGATTGTTTGTTTGATTGTTTGTTCGTTTGTTGGCTGGCTGGTTGGTTAGATTGTAGGTGTGTGTCTTTGTTTGCGTGTGTGTTGTTCCGTGCTTGTATGTTTGTGTGAGTTTTCAAAGTGGGGGAACCTCCCCAACTTCGGTGGGGGTCTCTTTGTTTGTTTGAAACCTTTCTTTCCGTTGATATCAACAAAGGGAACCAGAAAACTGCCCTTGAGGGAGGGAGGACCTACTCAACCCTTCAACAGGTACAAGACAAACGCACCAATCCAAGGTTTGGCAAAATGCCGTTAAACAGCCAGACCCGGATTCCCTTCGAAGTCAAATCAGCCCCCCGCACTTATTGTGGAGGGAGTCCCTGCTTATCTGATATGACCCAATGGTGCTTATTGATCAGAGGTCAACATCCGCTGTTTAAGCTTGCTTCTTGGATGCTCAGCCTAGTTGACAACCATCGCGATAACTAGAACAACTGCTATCCTGCCTGACGTGGGCAGAACATCCAAGCAAGAGGCTGACCCTGCACATGCTCACTTTAGGGGACCCTGAAACGTTGGTACTCCCCCCACCCCCCACCCCCCACCCACCCCCCCACGCCCCCCCGAAAACAGCTTCAAACATTTGTATTTCAAAGCACACAATATAAATCATCGTGCATCAGGGCGAATGGACTGATACCCCCCCCCCCAAAAAAAAAAAAAAAAACACCACTTGGTTGACGTTGGAAGGGGAGCAAAAAAAATGACATTTTAGCAGCTAAGTGGTTGGATTTCAACCACTAAACCGCAATGAACAAAACTGGGAAAAATGTTTCCCAACAACAACCACAGCACACCCCGTGCTTCGAGGACTCGCCCGAGAACCACCCCGAGGCCCCGGCAGGCGGTTGTCGTTCTCGGAGATGGTCCCGGAGGCCATCTCAGCGGCGCTCCACGTCAGAAAGGCCTCCGAAACTGGGCTGGACTTAGGACCCCAGCAAAACGATGCATATATGTATATGTATATCTTTGTATATATTTGTATATATATATATGCATTATGTATATATATATATATATATATATGTATATATATATATGTATATGTATATATATATATATATATATGTATATATTTATATCTATATATATATATATATGTGGTAAGGCCCCCCATGAACTAGCCTTCCTTCTTTCTTTCTAAAATGACCCTGCAAACACACTGTGGTTTTCCATGGTATATATATATATATATGGCTGTGGGTCAAAAGTAGGTACCCAAAATGGCACCCCTGGTAAATGGAAGCAATGACTAAAACCTGTCGTCCCCGGATGGTTTAATTTCGACCCATAATATATATATATATATATATATATGTTTGCCTGGGTAGTGGAAGACAAAGGGAAAACAAAGGGGACCCCTAAAAACAAGAAACATCAAGAAGGGGAGCTAATTCTGGGGAAGCAAACAGCTCCGAAGAGCTCCGGTTGGGTGTCTCTTTCTCCAGGAATTCCCCTGAACGGTTGACTAAAAAAAGGAAACAAAGGAAAAAGCCGCCCTCTCTCAGGGCTCCGCAAAAAAGAAACAAGGCAAGCTGATGTCCGCGCAATTGGGGCCGGAAAAATTGGAGTTGGTTTTGTCTGGTTTTCTTGGAATGGGTTGTGGTCCCCTTTTCATGGCTAACTGTGTCAAACTAAGGGCAAAAATGATGGCTGTCCTTTTGATGTCCCTTTAGACCAACCTTTAAAGGACCATCAACAATCCAGTAAAAAGGTGTTCCTCGAAGTTGTGCCCCTCCCCCCACAAAAAAAAAGAAAATGGCGGGTTTCCTCTTGGTTTCTGAAGAATCGGGTGAGGCCCAGAAGCTCTCCTTTTGTTTCCCTTTGACTACCAATAGGGAGATCCACCATTTCGAGAAAGCCACATGACATGGCTACGAATTTTCCCAAGAGGAGATTCCTTTCCGCATGGGGTCCTAGCCAATCCTGGGGCGGGGCGGCCTTGGGTGAAGTTTCCGGGTTCCGGGGAGATTTCGGGCCTTCGCCTTGGGGAAGTTCCGGGTTCCGGGGCAGATGTTCCCTGATGCTGCTGCAGATGCTTCTTGGGCTTACATATTTTTTTCCAAGGGAAACCAACTGGACACAGAACGGAACAAACTTGGTAGTCGTTTGGTTTGCCCGAACTCACGATTTGGTCGGCTTGTGGAAAAACGCAAGTTCCCCATCTAGCACAAATGTGTTTTTCACTTTATGCTGGGGCTGAGGTCCACTCACCTAGATGTCTCCAGGTTCCTCTTAAAAATCAGCCCTCGTTCTATGTCAAAAGTCATGGCTTAGGTTGCCTTCATTTTGTGGGCAGAAAGGGGCCAAGGCGAAGGCCTTGATTGAAGCCATCCACCAATATCAAGCTCACCTGGGAAAACGGAGCGTTTCCAAGAATGGTTTTATTAGGGATCCCATAAAGCCATAACCAGTGAATCTGGATCCCTTACAGATTCCTGATTCGGTGCTGGAGGGCGTTGCTGGCTGGGCAACAATTGCTGGCTGTGGCGCAACAACGACCCATAAGCCAAAAAGCAGTGCTAACAGCAAGAGCTTCTTTCGGCGTGCTCGAAAGCTGGGTTCCTGAAAGTGTGAACATTTTGACAGGTTTTCCACCTTACTTTTGGGGGTGTCCCTTTAAACTGTAAACCACCATTTCCCCCCTGCAAATGAACATGGGATGCAAAGAACTGCCCTTTGCTGGACATCATTTAGGTGGGGATTCATGTCCACCAACCGCTTTTCAGGTTGGACCCCCATTAAAACCCATAGCCACACTAAAGTGGCATCCGCAACAGCACCCAGCTGGTGCCCACAAAACACCCCACGGGATGCATTTGTTGGCGCCCGGTATGCACCCTAAAATACATGCTCCCAAAACCAAAGGGCACCCCAGACTTGAGTGTGTCCCTTTTGAGGGGAGTTAGTTCAAAGGGAAATCCGAGGGAGATTAAGCATCTTGGGGTTTGTGAGGTTGTCCATTGAGAGCAAACCTGCGTAATCTCCATTTCGGTGAATAAACACACACAAAATGAACTTTTGACCATTTTGGACATCAAGCTCATTTGGAGGGCTCCCGAGTTGGAGACAAAGCCGCCCTCTCCAGGTGTTGCGCCTCCAGCAGCGAGTCTTCGCTGACCTCCGCCCCCTGCATTTTGACGGTCTGGTCCCAGGGATCGCTTTCCAGGAAGGTGTGCTGCCCGGTGAGCACCACCTGGACCTGACTTTTTGGGGGACCCCCAAAATGTCGGTTTTTCTCTTGGTTTCCCTTTGCACCAACCCACAAAAAAAGGGTAGGGTACCATCAACAACGATTCTAAGCGCCCCCAGCCTCCAGTGGGCCGATACATGCAGACGCACTCGGAAAGATAAATACCGCTCCGGCTGTCGATACGTGCAGCGCGGCAGTATTGTTTGTACACCCTGTAGCTATCCACGTGCTCAATTGGGTAGGGACAAAAGGAAGATTTCATGGACTGAAATTTGGAATGGAATGGTGCAAACTCCCCTTACGTCTAACCCAGTCAAATACATGGACAGACTTGAGCCCCATGAACGCAAAGGAGGAGGAAAATCAAAAAGGGAACTTGGGTTTCGTTCAGTCTGGAGAGTCATCCAACTGTCACTTCGGGCCCCACCATTTTCCTTCACAGCCCCCGGTATGTACCACATTGGGAAACCCGTGTCATGGGCAAAACTCCTGGTGGCTCCCTTTTTGGTCTCCGTATCATCGTCCAAATTCCAATGAAAGCGTCCATGGCCATCAAATACCCCAAGTTTTAGTTTTTGGCCAAGCCTCACGTAGTTTTTGTTGGGTTGATTTTAAGTAAAACTCAAAAACTAAACAACTTGTGGGTCCCCCATTAGGAGACAACCTGTCACGCGCCAAGTTGCAGAGTGCGGGAAGGACACGCCGTCTGTGGGAGAGGCACGGAAGATCGCGGTCACCGTGTTCAGCACTGACACGGTGTGGGCGGCCAGCGCGGACCTGACTAAGAATTTTACATTGCGTTTGTCCCAGAAGAAGGCCCTCCTTTGGGCTCCTCTTTGAAGCCCACCAAAAAGGGGGCTCCCCAAAACAATTGCGAGGTGCGTTGACTTTTGCCCCATGCGGCGAAGCCAACCAAACTCCATACCTCCTCGGGACTGGAAGCGGGGGTCATTTTCGAACACCAGGCGCAGCTCATTTGCGAACACCTGAAGGGGGTGCGGATTGGGGGGGGTTCTCACGCGGCACATGACAATTGCCTCAAGGGCAGCTCAAAATAGCACTTGTGGGGCGATCATGGGGAATCATGTGCCTCAACGGCAGCTCATGGGAGCACATGCAAACATCAACCGTCTCCACACGCTGGGCAAGGACCCAGGGCCACAGATCGCTGATCGCCACGCCTCCTCGTCCACGCCGACGCCGCGAGCGGAAGCGTATGCAAAAGCAAACACATAGTCAGGACTATATGCTGCGTCGCAAGTTCTCGAAAGCAAAAGCTGGAGGAAGGTCTCGTGTCAGTTGCTATTTACGCAAGTGGCGCAATCGGCAGTCAGGCTCACGCTCGTACCGAGCTGAGCGCCGGTCTGGGTCAAGCTGTTGACCTGAAGAGCCGCTAAAGGGCATTGCACCTTTGGCGCTCCAGCAGCCGAAGTGCTCCCATCACGGGGTACCCTCGGGTCACGACAGATCTGCTCACACGCCGTCTGGGTCTCGAGGGCATTCTCCAGAGTTACATGCCCCAAGGCCAAGTGCAAGGGCTGCCAAGAAACCCTGCCCAAGCCCACTCGCACACAAAAACAATTGTTGTCCATCGTCCGGCATCTGCTGCGCCAAAGCGGTCCAGAACTTAGCTAGGAGTTGTGGTAAATCTGCTGTCTGCTCAGCTGCGGCGACGAGTCATGCTCCTGCGCACGGGTGCTAGACTCTGCTGCGTGTCTCTGTGAAATCCTGACACATGTGTATATATATATATATGTTTTACGCCGCCCCCTAAAAAAAAGAAGAGTGAGTAGGTAGTTCCCGCAGTGTGTCGTGTTGATCGCATTGAAAAGCTCATGTTGTGACGTCTATCAACACGAGGACACAAATGCCTAGGCAGCAGTCTAATGACACGCGAGCTTGATAAGTCAGAATTCTTACAAACAATCTTGACATGACATGAGCCACTGGATGCAGATCCAACAAATCCAACAAGTGTTTAAGCACACACACACACAGAAAAGAAGCTAAAACAAAAACAAGACTATGCCAGCTGTCTTGACGTGGGGTGGGGCAGAGTCTTGTTTGTGGTGTTTGTTTTTGCTTTTTGTTGTTGCTTGGACTTTTGGATTTGTTGGATTTGTTGGACTGTTTTTTTGGATTGCTTGGATGTTTGGTTTTTTGTTTTTTAGATGAAAAAGGGCTTACTCGGGGAGTTGTACTGTTTACTGCTGTTGGGTCCAACAAGTTCTACTTTTCTTGTTTACTTTTACATGGGAAAGGCAGAACAAGGTAAACTGACAGAAGGAAAAAATGGCTGCCAAACATGAACAATACGTGTTGTTTCCAGTGTTGTTTCCAGTGTATGATGTTGGTGACATGTTGCCACTATTGTAGGTCTACCAAGGGATATACCTAGGCTTGGGGGGGCATATACATATTATGCATATATATATATATACATATATGTATGGGATCTGGGTACGTACCCGTTGGTATGGGTGAAGGGACACCAAACGGAAGTCCACCTTTTTGGGTCCCTAGTTTGACACCCACACACAACGGGCTAAATGATTGCACACATTACTCTCTTGACTTTGATTTCAAAGTACCCCACAACCGCTTTCTAAGTACTTTCGGCTGGCCCTCATACCCATGTGCAGAGACGGACTGGCAAGCCAAACATCGCATCCCATGAAAGCGATGATACCCTCCCACTTACATGGAACCGGAACCCTGGAGCCAGCCAAACCACTCCGGAGCCGATTTTGAGCAAAAAACAAAGCTTTAAGCTGTTGGGGAATGTAACCTTTTGGGGCGAAATCCCACCAGCCAATCGAACCCAAAGATAACCAGATTCGGACCGAGCCGCAGTGAAGCCTGACCACCAAAGGCGGTAAACCTGCTGAAGTCGTTGACCGCCAGAACTTCCACGTACCTCCGCTCCGACCGATCCATCCCTTGCAAAATCAAACCTTAAACTTTGGTTGGGTGTGATTTAAATCCCTCCAAACTCCAAAAGAACAAAAAAAGCCCTCCAAACCCCCAAAAAAAAACAGAAGGTCGAAGAGTATGGCAACCGCCAAGGTACTTGGTAGTGGACGCTAGTCGTCGGCCAGAGGGTTCCGAGGGCGCAGCCTTCCTTGTGACGAAGCGCATCACGTCGCCTGGGTTGGTCTCACTGGTCCAGGGATTCGTCACTTTACAAAGGCCCACAAAAAAGCAAGTCGACCGAGGGAGAAGTAACCCATGTTTGGTTTACGGCGGAGGGAGGGAAACACCCACCTATGAATCCCCCGAGTTCTACTCAAATCTGGGGCAAACATAAATCTCAAGTAATGGAGGCCAGACAACGGCTTCAGGGTCTGTCGCTGGTTGGAGGATAGCAGGTCGTTCAGGTCATTTTGCAGAATGCTAAAAGGTGTCACACCATACCTCAGCTGTTGCCCCCCAACACTGAGATGTCTGCCGGCCAAGAGAAACCAAAAGGAAACCGATCATTTTGTGTCCCCCCAAAAACAAAACACCCAAATGCCCAATTCTGCCAAACAAGAACCCAGCAAAAAACCACTCCGCGGCCAGGTGGCGCACCATGTCGAGCGCATCCCCCTCCAAGCTGCGGACCTCGTGCAGAGCCTCGCCCCGCAAGCGCCGCCCTCCTTCGCCACCGCCGAAGCCGGCGCTGCCTTCGGCGGGGTCGATCCAAAGGGTTCGATTGCCCCGCAGCACCAGGCCCGACAGCCGGCCCTCGCAGGCGCTGAAAGAGGCGCTGCTGCCTCACTCTCTCGAACGGATCTGCCTCCGAAACATGGGGCCCAAGAAGGCAAAGCAACTTCCTCGCTCGAACGGGCTTTATGGGGCGGGGGGTCCAAGAATGCAGGGTAATTGCCTCTCTTGAACAGTTTTTCTGGGGGGGGGGGGAGGGTGGCAAGGTTGGGGTACAAGAGCAGTCTCCAAAAGGGGCCCTGCCTGGATGGCCCTCCACCTGCCCCAGGAAGAAGCAGTGTTCCTGCAGCCCAGGGCCCTCCTGACGCGCATCAACTCGGGCGAGCGGACACGACGTTGGTCAGAAAGTTCTCCAAGCCTGCGGATCCTAGAAATCCATGACCTGTTGGAAAGAGGGTGACATCCAGCTGCAGAGTTCCATGGCGCAAGGGATGTTGAGGGTTACAATGTTACAAGAAGGACTCATCCAACGCATCCAATGGGTGGTCGGAGCAACGGAAGCCCAACGAATTGTCTATTGGATTTTGATCATCTTTCAAGGGCTCAAGGGCACAATATTGAATGTGCCCCTCGAGGTGTGCTTGACGATGCCTGCATCCGGAAAGCCAAAAACATGTTGCCGGGCTGCCTCTTACTTTGCACGACACTGACTCCTCGTGTATCTAAGCACAGGCAGAAAGATGCCTAGGTTCACCATGAAAGACCCGGGAACAAAACGTACGGCACGGCAGGGGCTCTTTTACATGCATGCCCACATGCTCAGGGATTCAGCTCTTCCACCCCAAGGGGGTAAAATTCCAGGCCTTGAAGTTACCTCAATCTGCTAAAACGGGGTACCCAGATTGTCTCAGACCGGCTGGGATTTGCCAATTCATCATTGCGAGGATTCATTCAAGGAGCGTTGAGGTGATGGACTCAGGTGGGTGTGGCTCAAAATTCAACAGGCGGGGTTACGCAGGTGTTGGTCCAGTTTCCACTTACCGGAGTTCCATTTTGGTACCGGTTTTTGTGCCACAGGTGAATGCCAACTGTCAACTTGAGGCCCATGGCAAGCAGAACTCCTCGGTTTCGCTCAGCAACAAGTCTAAAAGGTTAGGAAATTGGGCCCTCCCCCTTTTTCTTAGATAATCCCCTTAGCTGTGTGAGTTTCACCAACAAATGGGTCCGTGTTCCTTTGAGCTTGAAGCGTTTCACGACGGGGTTGCGCCGCGCACTGAAAACTGTTGGTTCCCAAAGCTTCAAATCCAGCCAACTCGCAGGGGGAGCCACGGCCGTGAACCGGGAAACTGGCAAAGTAGGGGTACCACTGGCATAGGGTACCGTCAATCATAGGGCATCAAAAAATAGGGGATCCCCTGAGAAAGAAAATTGGGAAGGCATCACGGGATTGTCCCCTTCCCGAAGTGTGGCAGCTTCCATAGCTTCAGGCAGGGCTCGTTTCGAGTAAAAAGCTCCTCCCATGTTTCCCACGGCTCCTCCTGGGTTCCGTCTTTGTAGTGCAGCACATGCCGGGCGTTCTCCGCCAGCAGAGCAGTGTTCCGCCAAAGCTTTACTCGCAGCTCCTCCAGAATATGAGTACAGGGACCCTGCAAACCACGTAGCCAGGGAGTTTAAATGGAATTAAATGGAACCCTGAGCAAGGGAGGCAAACAAAATGTAACATCTACACCAACTACAATTCAGAGAATACCCAGTGCCACACCCAAAGTTCCCAACCGCCCCGCCACTCGCCCCGACCAAAAACCATCCATTGCGTGGCCAAACATGTCTCCTCCTCCGGCAGCGCCAGCTGCAGCTCCAGCCCCTCGCTGCCTTCCGCCGCCAGGCGCCGCTGCCACGCGATCTTCGCCAGGGCCGCCGCACCGAGACGACACGCGGCGAGCGCGGAGAGGAGGCGGAGCGCCCGCATCGGGGGATCGGAAGGCGGGGTGGGAGGGAGAGATGGGGGAAGCCAGTTTGGGGGGAAGGAATGTGGTCCAAATGCAATGAGCCAACTTGGAGGGACCTGAGGATCAGAATTACACGACTGCACTTGAATCAAAGTCACAGGAACATGGCTGAAGGTCCTGAAGACCTTCGTGGGAAACCCGACAATCCTTGCAGGAAGCTCGACCTAACATCATGTTTGATGCTTACCAGGTGCTGGATTCTTGTATTCTTAGACTGGCCTAAGCAGCTGCGCAGCATGGTCAAACATGTATGAACCAAAAACTGGGGCAATTGTCTTCAACATGAATGACGACGCAGGCCGTTCAAAAAGCCTGGCTGGACGTGTGCCACAGCCCTTCTGAATGGTATATGGGCCCACATTGTGACATGATGAGACTGGGGCTATGGGGTACGTAGCTTACAAATGCAATCCGCACATAGTCATCCCAGGAAGCAACCGAACACAACTCCGCTGGACATGCTTGCACTGCTTGCACATTTTCGCCCATGCTGACGCCCACTTCCACCTGAGGCGGAAGTTCAGCCATCCGCAGTGGCCATAAAGCTGGGCGGACTCAGCGAGAGCCTCGCCCGGCCAATTCGAGCGAGCCGCAGACTTGCGAATTGGCATTACACGCGCGGCCTCTGAGAGTTCTGCGGAAGCTTCGTTTCGGACGTTGGTCAGCCCAGCATCGTGAACTGCTTCCGAGGGATAGGTGGTTAAGCATCACCCCAAAGGTGTCAATTGTGATTGAGTTTTTTCGGGGGCAATGTCTTTTGGCGAGCACGGAAAAGGACCCCTGCAAGAGTCGATTCCACCGACTAAAAGACCAAAAGCACGAGACTCTGGTGGATTTCCGGAACATGTTGCAAGTAAACAAACCACAACTGTCGTGCATTGCATCATTGTCCCCTCCTTGGGACTCAACAGCCAAGCATGGTCTGCCTTGTTACAAGGAAATGTCCTCTGCCAAGGGTGGATTCTCACATGGTTAAAACAGTGTTTTAACCAAGACCATGTGAGCAGAGGTAAACGGAATCATGCACTAGCCTGGGGATGCCAAGGCCCCTTCTGGCCAACCGAAACTGTTCGAATCACCAAACCTGCCAAGCAGCCAGCTCCCAAGACATGGGGGAAAATGAGTTTCCTCTTCTGATTGCCTGGTGGCAGGCCAGGCAGGCTGGGACTTGTGGACTAGCCCCTTATCATGAAGACGCACCCTTTTCTGGGCGCCCAGAACCCCCCGTGCTCAGAGCAAACATTTTGAGTACTGCACCCCTCGTCACAGGCCAGCGCGGCGTGCAGGCCACAGTCGGGTGCTGTGAATTCGGGGGCTCGGAGCCCTCATCCGATGCCAGGCCTGCCGCGAGCGATGAGTCGTGCTCGGACAACGCGAGCTCCAAGTCCCAAGAGAGTCCGGAGAGTCCCTCGAAACACCGAGGCGGTCTTGGGTTCCAGAATGATTTTGCAAGGATTGAGATTCAAAGCAATCTACCACGCCGGTTCATAGAAGAAATGTCTTCAACTCTACACTTCACGTAGCCAGGTTTTGATAGTGGCACAAATAACTCCGAAACCAAACGATGGCTGGCCTCTGAACGCGAGGTATATATTGCACTGGGAAAGCTGTGCTCAACCTTGCGGCGTTCAACCAAGACATCAGTCAAGGCCTCAACCACACTGCAAGCACACGGATAAGGCAGCCAAACACAAAAAAAAAACATAGGTAAACCTCAGACAACACATGTTTTTACAATTCACGAATAAACCTGGCAGACAGGACAGACAGGACAACTACACAAACAAACCATGGCCCTTGCTACAGCCCTGCCCTCTCCCAAGGACAGCCTGCCATGGGAGCAGCTTCGAGCCTGAGAGCTGTGCATTGAATGAAAACTGGTTCAGTGGAGCCAATGGGGCATACTGTGGATGGGCAAAACATGGAGAAAAAAAGAAGAAGAAGAAAAAAAGTGGTTGGTTGGTATTTGTAGATGGAAACCACGGAAAACACTTTGTTGGTTGGTATTTGTAGGAGAATCGAAACATTCCAGCGTTTCTTAGGTGGTGCGAAATGGATTTCGTCCATCCTCACGTGGGTTTGAAATTGAGGACGCTGCTGAGGTCAGCTAAGGGGAAGCCAAATGAACTTGCAAAGTTGAAGGTCTTTGGGAGGGTTTGTAGCGTCCCTGAATAAGACCATGGATTTTGTGAAATGATGCCATGTAAATTATGTTCAACAAAGGCCGTTAAATTCATACCCGCACCGGGTGACACCCGGAAAAGGATAATTACCCAAAAGCAAACGCATTCACACAGGGGATGCATTTTGGAAGAAGATCGAACTGCGTCTGCTTCCTGGATTCCTGGTTTGCAATATTTGGGTATGTGTCAAAATAGGGGGAGCCCAGCCCCAAAACCGTGGTTTTCCAGGTTTCCACTGAACCAACCTGAAAAGGGTCCCCTCACACACACACACACACACACACACACACACACACACACACACACACACACACACACACACACACACACACACACACACACACACACACACACGTCCTTTCCGTACATTGCTGTGACGCGACTGGTAGGCCTTCCTAACGACGAATTCGCCTTGTCTACGGTCCATTTGGGAGGGACATGGAGGACTGCCTAGATTTCAACCACGCAAACCAGGGGCACTCGGGCACTCACCAATTTCCCATCTGGTAGGGCAACAGCAAAGCTTTGTCCAAGGTGGAGTTCCAACCCCAAGCCAAGGGCTCTCCACCCCGAATCTGGGGGCAACCGTAAGCCAATGGTTCAAGTCGAAGTCGTGCCACGGAATGCGGAATTCGGAAAGGGTCGCGGGGAGAGTTTCGTTGACAGCCTGCGGATGCTTGTCCAGTGTCTACATGCTGTCACGTGTGCCAGGTGTAAAAAAAACCCTCTAAGCCCCATTCCTTTGTGATGGCAGGTGCTCCGTTAGGGATCCTTTTCAATGCTTGCTTTGCCTTGACGATGCTGATGGATCCTTTCGCAGGGTGAGACCATGCTGCCGCCAAGAATAACAGAATTCACAGGCATGACAATTTGACTTTGAAACCAACTGGGAAACATGAACAAACTGGGTAAGTTAGTGCAACTTAGTATATATCACAGACCAGGACCTTCATCGTGAGGCCTGAGCATGCTTCCCCCCCCCCCCCGATCGAAGGAATCGCTCGTGGATTACTCTCAGAAGAATCACCGACTCAGCAACTGCCCTGAGTCAACCGGTCCGTTGCAAAGTTTCAACTTCTTGAGTCACCAAAATGAAACAAACCAGCCGCCAAAAGTGCTCAGGCACAGCTGGCTCAAGTTGGCACAACTTTCTCATTTTGATCTAGGTATCGTGGCTACTTGCCGCAAAGCGAATCGCGGCACCTACGTTTGGCGCACATCTGGGGTCAGAAAATCATGCTTTCAGATTATGCGTGTCAGTGTGCTTTTTTGCGGATACCCTTTCTCGATGGCTTTCACGGGAAACCAAAAGTAACACCATTGCAGGGGGGGGGGGGGGGCGCCATGGTTTTCTTCTTTTTGTGGGGGTTCCTTAAAAAGAAAGAGTCCCATCCCCTCCCCTGACTGAGGTGACCGCCCTTGCTGTCTGTGACCGCCCACGGCCTCAACAGCATTTGGCATCGGAATGCGATTGGACCGCCGAGAAAAAAAGGGTAATACTGTGGATGGCTGCGAAATCCATAAACCGCACCACATAAGCCACCATGGGAAGCCATTATACTCACCCTTAGTGGTCATCCACATGGTAAGGATCCACAACCTACATACTGTGGATGGTTGAAATCGAATCCATCAACCGCACCACGAAATGCCACCACGGTTAAAGCCACAACGTTGGTTGGTATTTGCGCGGGGATCGACTCATTCCAGGGTTCTTTAGGTGGTGCAGGATTTTGTCCTTCCACAGTAGCAAGGGGCAATACAGGTACTCGAAACCCTTCATGGAACCAAGGACAAAAGCCTGCGGTTCAATTCCTGGTTTGATTTTGACCACCCATATGTTGTGTATTTAAGTTCCATTTTACTGGGTCTGCGAAAGGAACGACTTGTTTACATGTTACCCTTTGTGTTTGCTTTCTTTTTGTTTTGAGGGGGCGGTCCATATGTGTTGTGTGCATAGGAACCTGTGTCAAAATGCGGGACCCAAAGGTAAGTCAAGGTGAAGAGGGCACCCTCAAAAACACACATTGGTGTGAACCTCTGGTTTCTAGGTTAAGTAACCACTGATTCTGGGCTACTTGTGGAACACTAGTTGCCGAAGAGCTCAAATTGGCCATGAACTCATACCTGGCTTCATGCAGGCAGCCTTTGAAAGTGATAAACATTTTTTTTTTTTTTTTAAATGCGGACTTTGGGCTATGCTATGTACCATCAAGCCCGGAGAAATAAAATAAACCTTCCGGATTGGGGTTTCGCGGAGTCCCTCTGAAAGGGGGTTCTCCGTTCAGTCCACCAGGATTTGCCCAGTACATGGACACCTCGCAGTCACCTTCGCGGTAAAACGCCATCCAGCTCTGAAAGCTCATTCGCAACTCCTGACAGCCAAAGAACCGACAGGGTTGGGGCCAATCCCTGGAGTTTAAACATTTGTTTAGATCACTGTCTAAGCCTGGTTGAAACATATTTATCCCAACCCAATCAAACACCGGCGACCAAGTGGCTCCCTTTCATTCGAAGCAACCCAAGGTTTGCCGATGCACCCTTGAAACCACGGTTTAGACCAATATAGTATTGTTTACACAGCATCTCTTTGGTTTCGCTTTAAAGGGGACCGGGTCTATTCGTTGAAGCACATTTTGCAAAGCAAACTTCTCCGACGGGAAAACAAGTCTGGCCTGTGGGAGTCACGGGCTCCTTCTCCTCGAAGAGCATTTCTCGGAACCTGGATCTTCTATTTGCTTCAGTCCCCTGGAAGGAAAAAAACAGTAGTGATAGATTCCCTTTAAAACCAACAGGGGGAGAATAAAATATAAGCAAATGG